CAGCCACTTTTCCAGCAACCGGTTCGCACGGTAACGCGCGCCGACGTAGTTGCCGCGAAAGCAACGGCGCAACCAGACGACGATGTCTATCAGGCCGCTCGTTTTCTTCGACTTTGATTCGCTACCGCAACGATTAGCACGGTGATCGCGACCATCGCTACCCTCGTTGCCATCGAGCGGCACGACCGGCCACAGAAGGATCTTGACGATCCAGAGGACGGGAATCGTTCGAACGTTGCCGAGGATGCTGGTTAAAACGGAGCATAGCCAGAAGAGTTGCGGAAGGATCGAAGCTGCCGATCGATCGGAGGAGGAAACGCTGGCGATCGAGTCGACGCCATCGCCGGTTCCGCACACCAACGTTCCCTGTTGCCGCCCCGTACTCGAAATCGACGCAGCTGCGGAGTAAGTGGACGAGTCGTGTCTCTGTTCGCGCTCCAGGCTGCTGTCCGTGAATCCCGATTCTTCGTATCCTCCACCTGGTCGAAACAAAAAACGCAGAACCTTTGTCTTACGTCCGATCCAACCTACGATACGCCGCGTTTTTCCACGTTTCTACGCGATAAAGAGACGAACGTACGAAGGAAAGCAACCGAGGCTCGAGCCATCCGCGCGTCTCACGGTATCGCTATTCGTAGCGCGAGGGATCGCGATCCGACTGTCGCTGCTGTTCTTCCGCGACGTTTTCGACGCGCTTTCTTTCAACCGGAGAATCGGACCGTCGCGAACAGATCAGCGTCAAGAAAGACGAGAGAACGTACGTACCTGTGGAAGCCGGTCGAATGGGATTAATTTCGCAACGGGGTGCCGTTGGAGGATCGTGGTTGTTGCCGCGTCTCCGTGGTTCCTTGTCCGTGCAATTCGCGCAAATACCCGATCCCGGCAACTCCTCGGAACACGCGTGAAAGCAGCACTCGTTCTCTTCGCTGCTGTGCAATGCCCTCGCGGCTTGCTCTCCGGTCTCGGGGATATTCGGATCTGAAATCATTTCCGTTTACAAGTGCCGCGTCTCGCGTCTTCCTTCGAACCAGCCACGCGTCTCGTCACAGGATTATCCGCCTTTCGAAATCGGCCATTTGGTCGGACGACTTTGAAGAGGATGAACAGGGTGCCAAAAATGCTATTACCCTTGTGCGATGTGGTGCGTGGTTCGACAGAGGGCGAGGGACGACAAGCGGTAAGAGGATGGTGGTAAAGTACAGGCGGATCGTCATCCACGACCAAAGAGTTACCTCTGCAAAGAAAAGTGGGTTCGCCGGCGTATTGCGTGGGATAGGCGGGAGCACGATCACCCGGAAGTAAATAGGGACAACGTTGCTCCACGGATTGGCAAAAGGACCGACAGGGCCTAAGTCTGCTTCCGGCCCAGTTGTTGGAGCTATTCAAGTCCTGTGGTTCCCCATGAGCAAAGTAAGGCACCAGGGAGCTGCACACCCATTTCCTATACGCTTCCTGCAATCACAAACGATCGTGTGCGTTTAGTGTGCGTTAGAACGCGGCGGATCGGCCGATTCCAGTCGGCCGCTAGAAACAGAAAACACGTTCGCACGATGTGCGACCAAAAGATACGTTATCGCTCTCTTCTCGTTTCTACGCTCCGTTTTCGGAGTTCTATTTGCGACGATCGGAGGTCAGAGCAGGCAATAAGACGGGTCAGTGGCTGACCTACTTTAAATATTACACTTTCTGCGCATCCTCTAAGAGCGCGTTATAATTACGCTCTGGTTGCAGGAAAACCCTTTTATTCGCCACGGCGACTTATCCCCGGCTGTTCTCTCTATCCGTATTCGTTATCCTGCTTCTCGTCTCTCGTCGCTCCGCTTTATTAAGTATTTCGTGTACACAGCTGAAAGAAGCGCTGCTCGGTATCCCGGTGATACAGAATCGTGAATACAGGGCTACGCGTTTCACGTTCTTCCGTAACCTTGGCTCGTGCTTTGCGCCCGGCAAGTCCAGCTGTACGACCGCTGCCATACGAAAACGAGCGACCCGGAACAAATCTACGAAAAGCAACGACCTCGGCGTAACTGCCTCTGCCCTGGTTTCTACCGAATCTCCGACCAGCTCGCTTCTCGCCGCCAAAATCCGCTCGTTAACGGTCGATCGGCCGAATCTCACGATCGATCTCTGTCGCGATAAAGTCGCTTTTCCGCCAATTGCTGGTCGCAAAGGAACGCGCGACGCAAGCACGCGTCCCAATTGGAAAATATGAATTTCACCGTGGCGAAAGCGTACGGTACATACGATACGCGCGGTACACGCGTTAACACGATTTAACGGCCGTTGCATCGTTTTCCATTTGCAACCGTTGGCGCGACCAGACATACAACGGCGCGTTGGAATTGCATCGTACAGGCAGCAGTCGCGTCTTGCGATTTTTCGCTCGTGCAGAGACTCGCGTGACTCTCGCGTGGCTGCCGTATCAAGTAGATAACGTATAATGCGATACGATATAATACGAACTATTGGTTTGGCATCTAAGTGATCGCGAACTTTGACAATACCATCTAACGACAGTTGCCAACCCGATACGATCGAAAGTTGTCTGAGTTGGACTTTGTTCGCGCAAATGCCACCTTTTCCTTTCGTTCTTTCTCTATCGAAAACGAACGAGTCGTCGATAACTGCGTTCGAACGGAACGATGTTGCGAGTTAACGGAGATGACAGTGCTTCCTGAAGAATTCTACGAATCGCAAAGAATCGATTAAGAAACGCGGCGGACGTAATCTGCGAAAACCCTGGACGAGCTACCCTCTGTCTGGTCCGGAGACGCAGAAGGGAGACTGTTCGTAAAGCCAAACTCGCGGCAACGCGACGATATCTCACGGTGCGAGTATCGTAGCTTCGCGTATAGATATCGACGCGTCTTTTCGTCGGATTGGAAAATAGAGCGGTGGAATCGGCGTCGAAGCTGTGGCAAGGACTCCGAGGCTGCGACAGCTTCTTCGACTCGACGAATGCCAAGAACGACGGCAGTTCGCCGCACGGTTAACGAGAAAAGAAAGGGCAAAGATTGCTCGGCGAGAAACGCGAAAGGAATAGCCGAGAACGCTAGGACGGTAGTTCGGCGGATAGGTAGCTACACCTGAAGTACGCACTCCAAGTTGGTTGACCCAATTCTCTCCAGCCTCTGTCGAGTATCTACGTTCGAGCTAGGCAGATGCGGTACCCTCCCCTTCGGGCTACGTCCTTCCTTTCGTCCCTCTGCCAACCCCGGCTCGTGCTGCTCGTCTTCCACTCGCTCCACCCGCAACCCCGTCCCTCTGTCTCCCATCTCAGCCGTCTCGTCCACCCTGTCCCTTTTCCCGCTTCGTGTCTCGTCGCTCGCCGATCAGTCTTCTCCCACCTTGTGCTCCGTCGACTCATCCCCCTCGATCGGCCGTCCCTACCCTTCCTTCGCTTACAATTAGATCGCTATAACGAAGCGCAGCTTTCGAACAATACGTCGTTTTCCGATTTCCTTCCGCCGAATTCTTCGACGCCGATGCGTTCGCGGTTACGTGGCGCGACGACGCGGGTCGCAACCTGCACGGGTACGTTCCGCCTCCTTCCTATCCGATCATCCCGTCTTCTGTCTTTTTCCCGCCGACTGAATTTCTCTCCTTTTCTTTGTCCCTTTTTTTCTTCTCTCTCCTTTTTCGTCAGATCGACCAGATGGTTCTTAACCCGAATAACGAACGAAACAGCAGCCACGTATCAACGTTTCCGATTCACTGGTCGGACTGGGAAGAGAGAGAGAGGAGCAAAGAAATGGGAAATCGGATATAGTCGGTGGAAATGGTGCGTTTTGTTCGCACGACCGTACACGTTCCATCGGTCGCGATGGACCGCGTACTTCGTTCCTTTTCACCCGGACTAACGTGCATCGACGCCGAACCTGCTTTCTTCTCGCTCTACTTTTCTTTCTCTTCGATACGGGCGACAGATAGCGCGCAGCCAGAGGTCTGCGTGTGTATACCGCCGTACGAGTATCCGTGTGGTCGTATTTTCCGACGCGCGGCTGTGTACGCGTGTATGCACGTACAGCGCATACAACGACCCGTAATTCCGCCTGTCATTGTTCACCCCGGATCCGTGACATTAATTTTATCCCTCTTTCGGAATACGCCGGAGTGATCCTTTGTCTCGGTCAGGCCGTCGAGATCAAAGACGAGAGGCTTGAAATTAGTAATGCTCTTTGCGCCAACGATTCTTTCGTCTTTCTTTTTTCTAGAAAAAACGCCACCGCGCTTGTGTTTCGTTTCACGTAACTGGGTAATTTAACCAACGATTTCGCCGCCGATCCTCAGGATCGGACAGCGTCTCGCGACGAACGAAGCCTCGATCGCGACGACCGTGACACGGGCTAGCACGAGGCACGTTCGGCTTGACCTGGCGTACGTGCTAATTTGCCCGCTGGGAAATTTTCAAACGATGCTCGTGCAACCGAAAACCGTAGCAGCCTCGGTTCCGGTGTTTCTCGTTTACGCCGCACTTGGCTCGCGAACGAGCTTTTCGGCCCACGAGTGCCACGAGTGCGCCGAATTAATTACCTGCGAAAGCGAGCGGAGGAGAAGAAAAGGGAAACGGCGAATGTACAGATCGCACGGGGCGAATGCGTAATTCGTGCAAACCTGAACGAGTTGAGGTGTATAAAGTCGTGTCCGTGATGATTGTGGCTGGAATGGCTGTAGATGTCGCTTGCTGGGGGTACTGCTATATTTTCTTCCTATTTAGAATCGTGGAATAAAAATCGGACTTCGGTCGTTGGATTCGATCCCGCGTTCCGAACGTTCGTAACCTAATGCGCTAACCATTGCGCTACCGTCGTCCGTTAGTTGTTTACGTCGAGTGGCGGTATTTGTGCTGTCGAGTGCCGCCACAGAGTCAACGAGTCGTCAGCCTTTCGATCTTCGAAATGCCTGCGATTCTCGCGACGACCAGCTGTTCTTGCAACGTTACGCGCGAAATTTACCTACACCCTTCGAAGGAAATTAATCAGCGACGAGAGTCGCCGGCAGATGGCAAAGGGGCTCGATGGAATGGGAAATGGAGAACACGCGGCACGGAGAGTGGCCGTGCGTGATCTTTGCAATTTTTCGTAGCTGCGACAGCTGAAACATGGAGAAGCAAAGAGGGAAAAGAAAACGTCCGCGACGCGATTCCTTTCCACCGTCAAAGTTCCCTCGATGGAGCTGCAACGCCGTGGTAAATTCTATCGCCAGTCCCGCGGCAAATTCCTCGGCCGTGTAGAAACCTGGACGGATCTCCGTCGAATAGCTCGGTGGAATGAAAGAAAGTATTTTTCGTTCTCCGGAGAAACGACGAAAAGACCGCCAGCAGAAAAGACGCGAGAAGAATGAAAAGGAGAAATAAGAGCACCGCTGAAACGCGAGATGCGTCAAGCGATACAACGTCGAGGAACAAAGATGCCTATCGCGGATACAGAGAGATGCGACTGTTGTTCGACGTGTCGTGTCGTGCGTCGTGTATCGAGTGACGATGAGGGAAGCAACGAAAAAAGAGAGACAGAGAGAAAGATAGATAGATAGATAGAGATAGAGAGAGAGAGAGAGAGAGAGAGAGAGAGAGAAACGTGGAAAAGGATGGAAGGATGAAAAGGGAGAAAAAAAGAAAAGGGGCCAGAGGGGAAGGGGTAGGGAAGGTTAGAGCAACTCGAATGGGGTGACGGGGTGTCGGTGGTGGCGCGCGGCGGTGGTTGGCGGTTGCAAAAGCAATGCCCTTAGTCGCGGTGACCTGGTTACCTGGCCCATATCCGTGCCACCGTTCTACCAATGCTACCCCAAATCCTACCCCTCCTCGAGCCAGCTTCCACAGCCTCCTGCTGCACCTTCTGCAGCCTCGTCCCGGTGGTTTTCTCCTCCTCTTACTCTTGTTGGATCCTGCCTTCGCGTGTTCGTCGTCCTCGTCCAGATAAGGACGTTTCTCGATCGTGCGTGCCTCTCTCCTGCGTCCTTCCCCTCGTCTGCGTTCTATCGATGTGCGATCAGAGAGAAAAGAACGGAAAATGTTGCTTCGTCCAACCACGCTCGTCTTCTCTTCCGACGTTCGATATTCGGAATTTCACCGGGCATAGATTTGCTCTCGCGTAGATTTCATTAACGGATAGGTACACCTGCACCGCTTTCAAACAGGCGAGTTTCAATATTGTTGGTTACTCGGTCGCTGCGTGCCGAATTCCAATTAGTTTCGCCCCAGAAAATGAAAGCTGCGCGAACCTCGCAGATCGACATTTTCCAACGGCGAAATTCCCAGCCAAGTAAATATCGATTATTTCGAGCGTTTCCCAGCGCGTTGTTTCGGAGAAACGAAGAAGAGAAAAGGAATCATACGGAGATACCTATGAAATTCTCGCGATCTCCTTACCTAAACGCCATTGCGAAGGATCTAGAAACACGACGACGGAGACGACGACGTTTCGTCGTGTAAACGCGGATGAAAATTTTCCCGT